ATAAAAAGACTCTTCTTTCTAAAGGAAAAAGTTTTATTGTGTTAATCAAAGACAAAAATTGGATAACTGAATTACATACTATTAAATTTGATTAAAATTTTGCATAGCTATTTTAGGATGATTCTCAATAATGTATTGCAGACAAAACTTGGGACGATTCAATTTCTAATGAACAAGCAAAAAACTTACAACACAATAGAGGATTTTATGAGTCTTGAATAATCCGAGTAACTTTCCCCATAGCGACAGTTCTTCCCGATGATCTAAGGAACACTCTTCCAAGAGCTCTACTTTCAGTAAATGTCTCCACACAAATTGGATTTTGGAGACTAACCTGCAGTTACAACAAAAATAGTCAGATTGATGTCAGTTTTTTTAATTTTTTTTGTAACATTTCGCGAAAAAAGTCTTGAGAGATTTTCAAACCTCAAGCATTGCACTCTGTTTCGCAGTTAGACAACGAGGAGACTTCTTAGTTGGCTGCCCCGTTTTCGGATCAAGCATTGCCACAAGTTTCACAACTGTTGCTGCTTCCTTTGCATGGTGCACATGAAACTCCAGCTATAGTGATTTCATTTTTCAATGGGAAGGATCAGAAAACATGGAACGAATTATAGAGAATTGAGCAAGAGAGAGGCAGTCTTTTTTGTTTCTTTTACCTGAGTACCGAGCAAGATAGGAGTGGCCCCTTCCAAGACGAGTACCATCAACTCCAAATGAGTTGCTACTGATACAGGAAAATCAGGATGGCACAATACATCTCCTGCCATTACTTGATTTGCATCAATCCCTTGCAATGCTATCGCTACATTATCTCCAGCTCTTGCAATGGTGCAAGCCTGAGAGTCACGCTCCAGAGACCGCACAGTCCCTTGATCTCCTGATGGCATAACCATTATCTGGCAGGAATTTTCCAGTGATGTAAGTAATCAGTTAAAGCAATTTCATTTGTTTCATTAAACAAGAGAGTAAAGGCACATCCGCAAGAAATTATTTCGACTGAAAGCTAAAGAATCACCAATCATGCTAACAGATATTGTGAAACTTTCCCAACGCCTAACAGTATTGTTCACAAAATAGTAATTGGGGGCATTTGATGTCAGATTCAATCATGGGTTTAAGGTTGAACGACTCAGATAAGGGTTGGAAGTTAGATTTGTCCTAAGGTTAATTCAGGTAGACAGATAGAGAATCACCAATCATGCAACCAAACGAGAAGAAAAACTCCACATCATGACACGTGTGTACCTTGGATCCTGGCCGAATAGCTCCAGCTTCAAGTTTTCCACATGCTGATACCTGCCCTTGAGACGTTGATCTTACAGCATCGCATATAGGCATGAGTAGAGGCTTTGAGACGTCTCTATCAGGAGACTTGACAGAGTCAACGGCATCCAATAAACATGGACCATGATACCTGTATTCCAGCAAAAATTTAACTATTTCATGGCCTGTTTCGGGCATGCTAAGTAATTCATCAACTGTACCAGAAATGGAAAGTCAGGTAACAGGAAAGGAAAAATGGGAGAATACCATGAGGATAGGCGGTTGTCAGAGGGAGCTGCCACCAAGTTCTGGTTTTCCATGGCACTTAATGGAATCCATGTCAGAGACGAATCCTTAAAACGACAGGATTGCAAAAAGGATCCAACATGCTGCTTAATTAAATCAAATCTTTCCTTTGAATACCCAACAATATCCATTTTGTTGACTGCAACGATGACTTGCTCCACGCCAAAACCTCTCAGAACCCGTGCATGCTCCCTTGTCTGGCCTTTCAAATTATCAAAACCAGCTTCAAAAGCACCGACAGATGCATCTATAACAAGAATTGCAGCATCTGCCTGTGTTGCTCCTGCGATCATGTTTGGAACAAAATCTTTGTGTCCAGGAGAGTCGAGCAAAACAACATGATGTCTTTTGGAATTGAAATAAGCAACAGCCACAGTCATCGTTATTCCTCGTTCCCTCTCTTCAGCACTCTCATCCAATGCCCAGGCATATGCAAAGGACCCTTTGCCCTGATTGGATCCGAAAGACAATGTCAAGCAAACAGAGCAAATTTTTGAATATTCAAGTCTCTAAAATTCAACCAAAGAACAGGTTACCTGCAACTTTGCTTCTTTCTCATATTTGTGCATTTGCTTCTGAGATATTCTTCCTAATAGATGCAATAATCTACCTGAAAGTGTAGACTTACCGGAATCAACGTGCCCCACCTACAATCAGATTGCAACCATCAGTAATGTGCCTGGACAAAAAATCAATAGATAGTCGCCAGTAATCCAAGAAACTCACGATGGCAAGATTAAGTTGACTTAGTGCATCTGGTTCTTTGTCAAGAAGCATCCACTCCTCTGGCTTATGCTTAGATTTTGATTTTGGTCTTATGGTTTTAATATCGCTGGATTTTTCTGTTTCCCCAGTCAACGATATCTTATTCATAGTACTAGTAAGACTCTCCGACTCCTCCATAAATTTGGAGGAAGAACTTGTCTCGTTAGACATATCTGCTTTTTCTTTTGGTAAACTTTTGCCCGATTTTATGCCACCTGCACCGCCCTTTGAAAAACTTTTATCAAGTTTATCATGTCTACCTCGGGAGCTTGTTTCTGAACTATCTCCTCCTTTCTTTAAAGGATTCTTTTCTGCACTATCTTGCTTCTCCTTCTGCCTCATTCTAGCATCACCTGAGCCTTTATAGTTAAGAACCCAGTATAAAATATTAGAGAATAAAACAGAGTAAAAACGCCAAAAAAGAATAACTTGGATGAAATTCCCAAACGAGCTTCAACCATATTAATAAGAAAAATAACCCAAATCAAAAAAGGAAAAGAAACAGAAAGATAAATTATATTGCAATACGGCTATAAATTATAAATCCCAGTTAGACTTGGACTTGAGCTTGGATTCCTATTTTCTACGTGAATAGACTTTTGAAGGCTTAGGTCATTGATCCGTATCAATGCGAGGAAACAACAATATGGACTAAAGTATAATAGAGACTATTATGGTATAGAGGATTCGAACATCTAATCCATACAATATTACTACAGCACCAAACTCAAAGTTAAGACCAAGTATGGATACCTTTTTGACCATTTTTTGAGGACGTTAGTCCATTGGAGACTAAATCATCTGGCGATGGAGCATCAAACTTGAAAGGTGCTATACATAAGATGAAAAGGAAATGTCAGAAAACCGGATTTTCAAAGCCACATATGCAAAGAACCAACTACAGACTCTCAACACGAACAGATCGTCAAGATAATTGAAAACATAAAACACTATCAAACTACAGCAAGTTAACAACCTATACTAATGCAGGAATTTTTAGAGCTAAAAGCGTTTTGAAGATCATGAATATTCCCACGGGAAATCCCAGGCAGAGGTCCCTGTTCCATCACAAGATCCTTGCTTTCAAGCAGAGAAAGAACAGCCCTTTTCGATGAATTAGAAGGGACTGATCCGAATAGGGACTTTGCCAATTTGGATACCACGGGTTCTTTGCATCTGCTTTCAACTGCATAAAACACATCTATTCTATAATCAAACACCCAGAATAGCAAATCACAAGTATAAAAACCACAGTAACGACTTTTGCCAAACATAAACCAATAGCTTATCAAGTGACCTTAAAAAACAAAACATATGAGATTTATCAGACAGTATCCTATTCAGGGACAAAGAGAGATTATATAAATACAAAGTCTCACTAATGTAGATGGAGGAGAGAAGATAGAGTACCTGTATTCTTATTGATACTTTGATTTCCGGCCACAGGATGGCGAAGAACACCACAGATATCACAAACAAACATACTCTCATCATTGTCATATGTACAGATTGCACATCGCCAAAGCCCTTGCTTAGAAATTTCTTCCTTTGATACAACAACTTCTTCTTCTTCTTCTGCAGTTTAGAAAAACAGATTAACAAATCATAACCAAGTTAAATAGAGACCATGAACCACCACAAAAAAAAAAGGTAATGGGAAGATGTTAATACCATGTTCATCTATATCAATATCATAGTCATAATCATAAGCATCGTCATCATCATCAAAACCATCATCATAATCATCGAAATTGGATAATCCTTTACGAGGCATCGTTTGTTTCTGCACACAAGGGGAACAAACAATTCAGAAATTGTAGATAACATCAAAAAGTCTCCACAGTGTACAAACACATCACCTAAAGAACTAAACATAGTCACCATTAATGAACAAAACAGACATGGCTCAGAAAGCAAAAGCTCATGCACTTTGTTTCTGACTTAAACCCAAAAGAATCAGAAGCAATGAGAAACAAAACAGAGAATGGAATCATCTTCTGGACGATGATTTTGAGAATCACGAGAATCCAATCTTAAATTCACTAACTTTGAACATTAACACAAGTGTATTGATCCACAAAACTTACAGAAACTAGTAGTAGAACGGACTTGGTTCAAGGGAAACGTTCCTTCGAATTCAGCTTCTCCGCCCTGTAAATTTGCTTTGATAGGCAATTCCGTAGCCTGTTTGATGCCGACAAGAAAGGATCCGGATCTGGGTTTGGTTTCGGATTCGGATTTCGGTTGGATAGAGTAAGAATCTGGAAAAATACCAAAAAAAAAATATGTAATCAAATAAGAATTAAGTTGGGCTTTTAACGGGCCTATATAAGCTGCATGAGAAATCTGATAGAATATAGTTGGACCATATTAGTTTTTCAAGATAAACAATTAACATGTTCTTACATTACACAAAATAAATGGTAATACTAAAATCTGAGGATATTTATTGTTTAATTTCCATATATATTAAACATCTTGTTAGTTTGTTTTTATATCCAATAATTCACACTATATACATGGAAGTTCATGAATTTGAAACCTATATTCCAAAATTTAAGTTCAAGTTAATCTTGATTCTCGAGAATTATATGTTCGGTATATGATGAACTCTGGCCTCTGCTGTAGTACTTATGATGCATGGTCTCAAAAACAAATTTCACTTCACTTTAATTTACATATATAACGAAGATGATCTCTTCCTCACCAACGGTGTTAATCAAATATAGGTTTAAGCCAAAAGAAACACAAGTTACATCGATCACCACAATTACAAAGCTACAAGCCTACAACAATAACAAAAAATTAACAACGTTTAAGTAATGTGCCACCTTTTGCAACACTACTATTGTACATACAAGCCCTCACAAAACAAACAAACAAACAAAAATGAAAAATAAAGAAGCATACACATGCATGTACATATATGCAACAAACTTGGAGAACGAGTTAAAAACCAAACCAAACCAACAGTTAAACACATATTAACAATAAAAAACACAATCTAATTGACTAATCAAGTGATGATAATCCAATAGTCATCGCTTTAATTTGTTTTTCGAAAGCACACATCTTCTCTTTGACTTGTACGTGAATCATTCACACCGCAGATGGTCCGACTGATATCATAAGTCGTTTATGTCTGGAGTCTTCCCGTCGCAACAAACACAAACAGAAACTAAGAGCTCTTGGTCGAGAGACTCACTTAATTCATTTCAGTTGAAATCACGGACGTGGAAGGTATTAGGGTTCTTGACGACGATGTCGTACATGTAAACGGAGTTGAACTTGGAGAAGTCTCTTGGTAAGGAGATGAGGTCGATAGATGAGCGTTTGTGGTACTGGATGAGATCAGAGTCTCCACTGAAGTATCGCTCCCACCCGAGGCTCCTTAGGATTTGTTCGAGCGACGAGTAAGAAGAGACGACTTCACCGGTCGGCAAGTAAACCAAGACATTTCTCCGGCCGTGCGTCTGATGAGTGGCAACCCCGCCTGACTGGTTTGGGTTCTCCACTAGACGTATCACTCCATTGTTGAACACCCAAACGCCTGACATGGCTTCACAAAATTAACTTTTGTTATGTGTGGATATATAAAGAGAGAGAGAGATATATATGTTTCTATAAGCTAAGGGTTGAGGAGCGATTGATTTGGTGTTTAATTATGATTTATGAGAGAGTTCGTGTGTGAGCTCTGTATTTATAGCCACGAGGAAGTGATTATCTCATTCTATACACTAAAAAATAAGTCGTTGTTTTGGATACGAGTTTTTTTCACAGCCGCCTTTCCAACCGTAAAGTGGAACAGTGGCACAATATATACCTCCGAGTTTTAAACAAGAGTTTTTTCTTTAGTTGTTTCTAAAATTAAATACAGCTCTTTGATTTTAAACTGATATGTTTCATTAGAACAAAGTGTGGATTCACAATATCAAAAAAGAAACATCATTTTCTTGACATAAATATGTTAGACAGATCAATTGTATAAACTTAGGTGACAGCTTTTTGGAAGTTAAAGAAAATAATCAGATGAAATAATCGAAACGCATAAAAACCAATTTAAACGGGACACATCCTTGCTAAAAAAAAAACACTGCGCGCTTAGTATCACTTGTTAATTTGGTTTATATTCTCGACAGTGACCTAAAAAATTTTAAACAATAAATGGAGGACTGGGAGAACATACAAAGCCGACACACTTGAATAAATATATATATGAAAAAGTCTGTCTCAATCGTCTGGAGAATCTAGATATTGCGGGTCATGCTTATACCATTCCCTTCTTCTCGACCTTTTTATCTTCAAAACAATATTGTTATTATTCGATAGAGCTTTATTTCTTGGCTAAAGGTTGATTGCATCTATATAACACTTTACAAAAATGGGTATTTTCTTTTATTTTCATAGTTTATCATGTCTTTACTCTTACATATTTTTTAATGTTCTGTATTTTTTTTTTTCCAGAATGAATGGTCAAAACTTACGAATAATTGATAGTTTAACCGGTTTCTTACGTGAATGATGGATATGTATTAGTGTAGTATATAACAAGACCTTATGTTTAGGGCAACTCTATAACAACGTTAAATCCACTTTGTCAGCATTTATTAATTTACAGAAACAAATCAGCATACTAGCTACTCCCTAATGGTAGGGGCTAATTCATTTTCCGAATAGCATATATGGGAGAGAATTACGTATTAATATTTAACTATATATCGTCGAGAGAGTATTATTCTCCATCTATTGATAATTAGTACTTTTCGATTTAGTAATAATAAAAATTAGTTATCCGAGGCTAGTCGACATATTTTATTAAGTTATATCTACCCAAAAAAATATTCTAGCCAAGCCAAATTCCGATTTTATTAGTGCATGCATACACGGGAGCGCTTAATACGTCAGTGGCCGAATCATGCATTTTAATTATATTAATATAAACATCATTTTCATGAAAGAAAAATTCGTATTCTGATCACATAAGTAGTAAAACGGAATATGTACTCTCTCTATCGTTAACGTCTCGTTCAAGGAACGACTGTTTTATTTCGACAGGAATGGAATTAATACAGCTACCCGACCACGAGCTTGAACAAACTGGTGTACGTATTTTTTTTTTATCATTGGCATTTTACGTGTACGAACCGTATTACTTTGACCCATATTGGATCAAGCTGAAACGTACAAATTTAATATATATAATTAAGATAGTTCTTAGAATATTTTGGAAACTCTTTACAAATGCTCGCTTCTTTCCAGTTTCGTATGGACGGTATGGTTAAACAAAAGAGAAACCTTGTTTAATTTTAAGCAAGAAATCCGAGCATAAAAAGCAAAGGGTTATTTTTAATCCTATACATCTTTTATGAGTCTATTTGCTTTCAGGTTAACCAATGTGTAAAATATATTGCCAAATTAATCGGAAATAAAGTTAACGTATTAACGTTATTTATCATATACCATGATTTATTTCAGATAAATATCGTTCATGTTATAAAATATTCTGATAGTGCAAAGAAGTTGATATCTAATTCAAATACTAATATTAGCGCTAAAAAGCTAAAGATAAAAGATGCATGGACGGGCAAATGAGTGTGGAGATGCCAAGAGTTGTTTAATACGGAATTAGAACTAATTTAAAGGTATAGAGATAGAGATTGGGGAATATATACACAAAAGAACACGCATATTTTTTGTTCCATCTGAAATATTATATATGATGTGTTGGATGAAGAGAAAAGAAAAGAACATTACTAAACTAATGAATAATTTGATCTTGTGGCAGGGGATGCATTGTTCGGAATAATAAAATGATTATCTGATCATTAACAAAGTCTAATTAACGTTGTCTCTTCATTCATCCTTCGGACACAAATGTAATCAGTACGTATAGCTTTTAGTAAACTTAACTTAGGTTATTTTTGAAATGTGAACTATACAAATGAAATATTTCTTGACTGTTAAAACTCTTCGGACACAAATGTATGTAATTAGCTTGTGAATTTGTGATGCACCTGTTAAAATATTTCGTTATACAATAAAGCTTATATCACATCACACAAATGTCATAAACTATTTTGTTGCACTATAATCCAGCAATACATATACAATGACGGATACAAATATTCTTCAAAATTATCAATGTTTAGTTTTGTTTCATTAATTAGCACAATTCCGAGGAACACACAAACCTATAAAACAATCATATTTTAGAATTAGTAGAATTTTGCCATTTTGGTGGTAGTTTAGAAAACCAAACATTAATAGACACTATAAATGGGCCAATATATTGTATAGTTAGGCCCATATCTTTATATTAACGCGGTGGGTCTTAGACCCTTGGTATCAACCGGAGGTTTCGCCTCTCATTTGGATTAGTCGAGTGTTGTTCAAACACGGTTAATGTAACCATCATCGTGAACTTTTGAAGAACTCAAAAATGGTCATCTCATTCATGGCCAATGCTCACCTGAATCAGCCGTATGTATCTGCTTCTACTACTACTACTCAGGAAAAAGGTTTCTTCATTATTCAAAAAAATTGGTTTCGTGTTATGTTGAATTTCGAAATCAATGTTGAAGATTGTGTATGGTCATCTGGTTCATGACTTTTTTTTATCAGGAAGAACATGTAGATACGCAGGCCAAGCAGTGGTAACTACAAAAATCAATCTCTCTCTGTTCCAAATAGATTGAATTTGGGCGTGTTTAGGGTTTGATGTAAATTGCTGCTTTGGGTCACAGAGAGCTCTGCCGATACGCGTGATAACAGTGGGGAAAAAGAGATCAGAAGGTGTTCGACTCTTGGTCGATGAATACAGAACCAAGCTTAAACCTTATTGCTCCTTTGAAGATTCTTTGGTTCGCTCCAATCCTAGAAATGCTCAGTACGTTGCCTTCAATTTGACAGACCCTACTCAGTGTATTTCGTTGCTGGTAGCTTTTTCTGAAACCAGTAGTCTTTATTCACATTCACAGGGATGTCAAAGCTCAGGTTGAGGATGAAGAGGTGGCTATGATGAAGCTTATTGGGTCTGATGATTGGGTATTATTAAACAATCTCTTTAGAATCCGCTATTAGTCTTTCTGGTTGATCATCCTAGATGGGTCTGATTGTGAGATTTTAGGTTGTGGTGCTTGATGAGAGAGGCCGTGACATTGATTCTGAGCAGATGGCTGACTTACTTGGGGATGCAGGAAATAGTGTAAGCGTATAGCTCTCTGTTCTTACCTCACTTAAAAATGGAAAAATGAATAAGATAATTAAGTAGGTGAGAATGTTCCAGTAAGTGATGTTGTTTTTGTCTTTTATTGTGGCTATCTCTGTTTTTAGGGAGCTTCGAGGATATCGTTTTGTATAGGTGGAGCTTATGGACATGGAAGAGAAGTGAGGAAGCGTGCTAATGTGACCATTAGACTGTCCTCCATGGTCCTGAATCATCAAATAGCTCTTGTGGTACTGATGGAACAGCTTTACAGGTTAGAAAATTGTTGTTTCTGATTCTGCATTCCAGTTACATTTTCAGATGACGTAATGGGTTTCTATTTTCAGGGCATGGACCATTCTTAAGGGACAAAATTACCATCATTGTTGATGCATGATTCTACTTTTTTTTTTGGGTTCTTCTTTTTGCTTTCTCTTGTATAAAGAAACTACATTACCAAATAGCTTCTCCGCTGGTAGTTGTACTAGAGATTGTTTATTGAACGTCGAACCTTTGCAATCCAAATTTGTGTGCTTCTATCTAGTTCAGATTCGGGTCATCGAATGGGACTTCTGTTCTTATTTCTTGCATCACTAGTTTTTCTTGGTCATATAACATTGAAAATGAATGTAGAAGAACAGCGATCGTTCAATAACTGATTCTTATCCATATATCTCCATCTAGCGGAAGGTGAGCCAGTAAGATTGATTATTAGTCTATAAGGCTAATCCAGAACCGGAAAACCCCTATAAGGTATACTCTGCTTCTTGCAGGCTTAGCACCAAGAAAGAACCAAAAACAAAGAAAGAGATCTTGATTCCATTGTTTAGGTAACAGTGTGTGATTTATGATCATTCTCCCTCCTTATTATTGATGTCTATACATAAAAAGCATCCTCTTAATCAACTTTCTTGGCCAACACAGATGACACTAAAGCTGAGACAAAATATGAACCATTTAGGGACATGGCTTAGGCAATGCGACAAGCGGTTCAGCCTTAGCCATTGCCACACTAAACACAGGCCTCATGTCTATGTCTCCTTCTACTTTCTCCAACTCAAAGCACTGAACCAATGCTCCAACCGTAAGTGCCACTAGCCTCATTCCTAGTCCAGCTGCGGGACACGCCCGCCTCCCAACTCCAAATGGCAAAAACCTAAAACCATCTCTGTCACCAAGAAACCCTTCAAATCTCTCCGGTTTAAAGACATCCGCTTCTTCCCAAAGCTCACTGTCCCTATGAACAGCCCAAGCATTCACCAACAACATCGTATTTTCAGGGATCTCGTAGTTGCCTAAGTTGAATCTCTTGGATGAAGAGTGAGGAAGCAAGAGTGGAGCTGCAGGGTAAAGCCTAAGCGTCTCATAGATTACACAGCGAAGATAAGGTAAGCACGAAAGATCTGAGTCTTGTATAAGCCCTTTGTGTTTAACATTGGATTTGATTTCTTCTCTGACCTTCTCAAGCTTATCTGGATGGTTCAGTAAAAGCGACATTGTCCATTCCATTACCACTGGTGAAGTATCCGATCCGGCATTGAACATCAGCACTACAATTCCCTTAATAACTTCATCAGAGTAGAATTCAGGTTCTGACTCTTGGAGCTTCAATAATTTCTCCACTACCGAACCAGTGGAATCAAATTTCTTCATTCGAATGTCATCAATGAGTCGTTGGAGGTACTCATCTCTCATCCTCTGCATCTCAATCACTCTCTTCTCAAGTCCTTTGTACCCGATCCACCTTAACACTGGGAAATGATCGCAGACATTCATGGACATGCTTGAGAAAAACCTCAACTTGAAATCATCCAAGAAACTCTTCTCTGATTCTGAATCACTCACTTCAACTACCCCACGATTCCCAGATACTAATCTAAGCATAACATGAGCAGTGAGAAGAGTGAACTGATACTTGAGATCCACTCTCTGAGACTTGCCGGATAATCTGAAGAGACTGGAACAGAGATTCGACACTTCTTCGTTTCGGATGAAAGAGTTCTTTTGTAAGCTGGCGGATGAGAAGACCTCGAGAGTGGAGAGACGTCTTAGAGTTCGCCAAAGATGGCCATAAGGAGCAAATCCGAAGTTTTTGTAGCCATAGCTGAAGTGATCAGAGGTGATGGTCCTGGGACGGTTCGCGAGGGTTATGTCGTGATTGGTGAAGCATTCTTCGATGGATTCTGGGGAAGAGAGGGACAAAACAGAACGGCATCCGAATCTGAGGAACAGAACCGGGCCATAGTTTGAAGAGAGGTGATGTAGAGCTTGTGGTAAAGGATACTTCTTGATAAGATGAAGATGGCCGATGATCGGAAGAGGCGTAGGGCTTGGTGGTAGTTTAGAGTTTTGACTTCAAAGTGACTTGGCTATGAAGAAGCTCAAAGTAGCTGCGAAGATCAAGAAGATGAACCAGATGTTTTCCATTTTCCTTTTTTTTTTTGTCCAAAAAAAACATTGCGTTGACCAAACCTTTGTGGTCTGATCGCAACTCACAAGACATAGACTCGCATCATCATCATCAAGTTTGTTTTTTTTTTTTTCTTTTTTTTGGTGCAAAATCATCATCCAGTTTAACTAAACATATTTAACAAGACCATCATTAATGGCAGTATATAAGATATTTTCTTAAAGAGAAACTTAATCTAAGATACTGCTATTAATGATGCCTAACACACTAGCTGTCGTTTTTATTTCAGTATTTGACATTAATAAGTCTAGCCTGACCCATTTTTGTATATTATGATTTGCTTATTAATCTGTCATAATTATATTGATTTTCAAATTAGTTACGCAATTCATAAGGTAAAAAAGAAGGATTTTCAAATAAATATAGGGTTTAGCTAAAATTATCTCTTTAAATATTAACTAGAATTTATAAAAATAAAAAATAAAAAATTTAGAACTTTATTTCTTAATGATTTTTATTTAATTACCACTAGCTTTTGACTCGTGTTTCAAAATCAATTCACTAACAAAAGATTATCAGTGATTAGTAAATTACATAAGATTTTATTTGGATCTCTAGAAAGATCTAATATGTTATTTAATAAACCTTTCTAGGACTTTTAACTTTATAAAAATGGGAATTAGGTCTTTAAATTCCTTATTTTCCTACTTGTATTGAAATTCATATATGGAAATTTGTTAAATACTGGATATTAGAATGATGATGCCAAATTAATTATTTTTTACCTTTATCTTTAATAATTTTATTTTATTTTTGATTAAAATTTATTAATACTAAATTTCTCTCTAAACAAAATTGGACCTTATTTTAAGAGACATTGTTATCGTATTTCACATTTTATCTATTTTTTGTTGGGTTCTAACTCTACTTCATTCCATTTTTTTCGGGTAAGAGATGGCTCCATTAAGGTTCCACTTCTTCTCTCTTGTTCTGGTTCTGATATTGCTTTCAGCAAGAGAAACTTCATCGCACTTGGATTCATCTTCTAGTGTCAATAAATATCCATCCTCTATGATTATGTGGCAAAATGTTTCAGTAGAGACCGTTGTTGCATCACATCTGCAAATTGATGTCACAATGAACTCTTCAAAAGGTAATTCTTAAAAAAATTGTATAAATAAATCTATTTTCTGTAATTTTCTACATGTTGTTACGTTAAGTTGGATTTTCTTTTCTTTCTATCAGGTGCTCAAAAGTTTCACACAACGCTACATAGAAAGAGTGATTATCCTAGGGAAACACTTGCGTGGAAAGGATACAATATTCCTTTGAAATTCAGGTATGTCACCTTATATATCTCTCTATCGGTTAATTTCTTTTTTTGCATTTTAAAAGACACACGTACGATCTCACGTCGGATCACCTTAAGTTTTTTTTATTGATGATCATATATAAAATGCAACAGGAAGAACAAGTTTGTACCACTAGAAAATGGAAACAAAGCTACATTTGATTGCCAAGTGGAACTTCCATTTATAGGGTATATGAATATGACTTTTAACTAGACGTACCTTAATTAACTTGCTTGCAGTGAATATATGTATTTGCATATGATATGATCTTGCCCTTTAATTTAACTCTCATTCATATTTCATATATATATATACATGGTAAACTGAAGATATACAAAGCCATGGATAGAGTTTGCCACAGGCAATATCTACTGCGTTTTCTTTCCATACTCAAAAACCATGACACCTCCTTCTCCTCATGCTTCACTCAAAGAAGCTCCTGATCATGTCACAGCACCTTCATTTGCACTTCTTCTCGGAAGGCTTTCTGTGTCAGAAACAGGAAAAGTATACATTGATTTTCTTTTTGGGATGTATGGAAGAAGTATATAAGTTTGAATCACTAGGAGTTCTTACAAGTAATTTATGGTGCAGGTGATGAACATAACTTCGGAGGTTAACAATGTCATCCACTACAAGAAAACATCGTTATATCCTACTAAATTTCCTACCAAAATTTTGGTAAAAACAATTTCCTACAAAATAATTACGATTATCCTACAAAAAATAATTATCGAAGGAAATTGGTAGGAAATTTTCTACGAAACTTAGCCGTGAGAAACTCGTAGGAAATTTCTTACGAAAATCTTACAAAACGTAAAATTGTAGGAAATTTCGTAGGAAAATGGAAGAAATTTAGTGAGAAAAGACGCAGTAGGAATTTGGTAGGAAAATTTCATTCCAATTTCCTACAAAAACAATTGTCCAAGTAATTCCGAAAAAATTTGGTAGGAAATTTTATTATATCTTTTTCAATAAAAAAAAAAATTGATAATGGCAAAAGCAGTTTGTTGATTAAATTCAGATCCAACGATTGATATCAAAAGAGAAGTGATCCACTTCTTCTTGTTTCAACCAATCAGAAAAGAGATACTCTTTTAACCACAAAACAAAGTGGAAGAAGCAGAATCACAAACGTAAATTCACATAATCACATAGTCATCTTCTTCTTCCTCTTTACATCTCCATCACCAGATTTTTGTTCGAAGGTGTTAAGTTAAATGGACTCAGCATCACGTGAGATTTGGATAAGAAGTTAATCCCATGTCATTTTCTCTGTTTTTCTTCTTCGATTAATAAGTTTCTCGGTGACGAAGATGAGCTCGTGTTCGGCGTTGTGAGATCTTGAGGTTTTGGGACACAAGGTGCTTGATTCGTTGTCTTGTTTTACTACAGAAGGTATCACCTTTCTTATGATCCTCGTTAGACTTGACTTATTGTTGATGTAGATCTTATTTATATTACAGATCTGAAGAAAAAACAATCTGGATTCACTAAAAGAGTTCATCACATCTCTTTCCAATATAAGATGGGGGTAGATCCTCGATGGAGGTGGAGAGAGAGATGCACGAGAGAAATCTGAAGGGAAAAAGGGAGAGATGACGGTGGAACTTCATCAATGGGGAGAGATTAAACAAAAATCTCAGCAAACTGGTGGCGCGTGGAAAAGGGAGCGGTGGATCTGGGGAGAGAAGAAAGTAATTTGATTTTCAATTTTTGTTTTGTAAATTAAATAAATAACTTGTAATTTATATTTTATTTATTTTTGAAAAATAATTTGATTTTATATATAATTCAAATTACTAAATTTGTAATTTATAAATCTTTAATATAATTTTCATAATAATAAAATTATTGAATAAATAATTAATTATTATTTTATTTGATTGGTAGGAAATTGATAAGATTATTTTGTAGGAAAAGTGCAAGAAATATTTGGTAGGAAATTAGAAGGAACACGTTTCCTACGACTTATTTGTAGGAAAATGGTCAAAAAATGCCCTTCTCCGTTCCTACGAATTAACCTACGAAATTTCCTATAACGAGTTTTAGTAGAAATTTGGTAGGAAATTTCCTACCAAAATCTTACCATTTATGATTTCGTACGGGCGATATCCTACCAATAATTTTGTAGGAAAATGGTAAGAAACGACTGTTTCCTACCAATTTTTGACGCAACTGACCGTAGGAAATTGATCATTTTCTTATAGTGATCATATCGATAGTTGAAAAATCTGGTAATACAAACTTTATATGCGTAAGATATTATGATATTATGCATAAGAGATAGCAATGTAAAATGGTCGCTACTATTTCAGATGTTCAAATTCACTGGCACGAAAAAAGTTACTTATCGATGAGCTTGTGGGAAGATTTTGGTATTGCACAGTCTTAAGGTGGATGAATTAGTCCTCACTTGAAACCTTGCTTTGTGTTTATTTTTCAAATATTGATCGGCCAATTAAGGTAACACGCATATATATATATATACCGTACGTTGTTTATCAGGTTAAGAAGCAAAGCATAAAAGATCAGATAATTGTCACACTCTCGTCAGCAGGTCAGCGCGTAGGAATGAGTATCTGCTATGAAATAGATGAATCGCAGATACCAACGCACGAAAAAATATTGGTGTATTGCATGATCATCATGTTCATCTTTTCAACCATCAATGTAAAAATAGCTACTAAATATTGTAGTAACGAAGCTGCAACGACCAAAATAGATGAAAAAGTCATGACCAGGGCAGAATGTATTGAAGTCTTAAAAAAAACTCTTTGTGACATGAACAAACGGATGTGTGAAATCGAAAAATTATACGATCAAGAATAATAAGAAGATAAGTATTTGAATATAGAGAGGTGTAACAGCAACAAAAATATACACAAGTCATCAAGGGAAATTATGTATTTTATTCAGCCCTCCCTTAATAATAAGAAATTTTACATTATTTGGGCTATTGTTATATGGGCCTTTATTAGTTCATGTAGAGTTCATGATTGTTTAAGTCTTTTAAGCGACGGGCCTTACTTAGACCCTTATCAGCCAGAGGCTTCAAGTGTCTCATTAGGTAAAACTGTTGAATGGGAATCATCGTGAAGTTTGAAGAACTAACAAATGGCCATTTCTTTCACGCATGTCCATTTTTCTGAACTCTAATCCTACAAATCTTGAGTACGTTAATTGTTGGATCCATCAACTGGTAGCTTTCTCTGAACCCAATAGTCTTTATTAACAGGGATGTAAGAGCTCAGGTCGAGGATGAAGCTTACTGGGTCTGATGAATAGGTATGATTAATAATCTCCTTAGATTTATAGCCATTGTTTTTGCTCTAGATGGGTCTGACTGTGATATTTCTAGTTGTGATGCTTTCCGAGAGAGGCCATGACATTGATTCAGAGTAGATGGCTGGTACAACCCTTCTCTTTGCTTTTAACATCACCAATAGTCATCTCGAAAAGTACTCAAATTGATTGTCTGTAATTATTGGTTTGAAACTAATCTCATATTAGAGAAAACTATCTTTACAAGCGGAATTGTGTCAAAATCTTTTAAGTGTCACGCAGCAGGAGAGTGAATAGCAATTAGTGATGTTGTATTTGGTGATATATGGATTAAATGAACATAGAAGCAAGCAAACTTTTGTTTGTTTTTGTTTTGGTGATATATGGATTGAATGAACATAGAAGCGACGGTGATCCTTCTCCATATATCTCCATCTGTGGAAGGTGTGTGAGACAATCTCCCTTCACGGTATATGGCCAATTCAGAATCTTCTCTGTTTCTTGCAGGTTTGGTTCTAAGAAAGAACGAAAACTGAAGTAGAAAAAAATTAAGTTCCACTGTTTAGGTAACCATATGTGATTTATTGTCATCCCCCATCCTTATTATTGATGTTTATATGTAAAAAGCATCCTCAAAACCAACTCTCTTTGCCAACACAGGACACTAGAGCTGGAACAAGATAGGAACCATTTCGGGACAAGGCTTAGGCAATGCAACAAGCGGCTCAGCCCTAGCCATTGCCACACTGAACGCAGGCCTCATGTCTATATCTTCATTTTCTACCTTCTCCCACTCAAAACACTGAACCAATGCTCCAACAACAAGCGACACTAACCTCATTGCAAGTCCAGCTGCAGGACACGCCCGCCTCCCAACTCCAAATGGCAAAAACCTAAAACCATCTCTATCGCCAACAAACCCTTCAAATCTCTCCGGCTTGAAAACATCCGCTTCTTCCCAAAGCTCACCGTCCCTATGAACAGCCCAAGCATTCACCAACAACACTGTATTTTCAGGGATCTCGTAGTTGCCTAAGTTGAATCTTTTGGATGAACAGTGAGGAGGCAAGAGTGGAGCTGCAGGATATAGCCTAAGTGTCTCATAGATGACACATCGAAGATAAGGTAAGCTCGAGAGATCTGAGTCTTGTATAAGCCCTTTGTGTTTAACATTGGATTTGATTTCTTCTCTGACCTTCTCAAGCTGATCCGGATGGTTCAGTAAGAGCGACATAGCCCATTCCATTGTCACCGGTGAAGTATCTGATCCGGCATTGAACATTAGCACTACAATTCCTTTGATAACATCATCAGAGTAAAATTCAGGTTCTGATTCTTGAAGCTTCAAGAATTTCTCCACTACCGAACTTGTGGAATCAAATTTCTTCATTCGAATATCATCAATGAGTCGTTGGAGGTACTCATCTCTCATCCTCTGCATCTCGATCACTTGCTTCTCAAGACCTTTGTACCCAAACCACCTCAACACTGGGAAATAATCACAGACATTCATAGATAATAGGCTCGAGAAAAACCTCAACTTGAAATCATCCAAGAACTTCTTCTCTGATTCTGAATCACTCCCTTCATAGACCCCACGCTTCCCAGATACTAATCTAAGCATAACATGAGCAGTGAGAAGAGTGAATTGATACTTGAGATCCACTCTCTGAGACTTACCGGATAATCTGAAGAGACTCGAACAAAGATTCGACACTTCTTCGTTTCGGATGAAAGAATTCTTCTGTACGCTGGCGGAGGAGAAGACCTCAAGAGTGGAGAGACGTCTTAGAGTTCGCCATAGATGGCCGTAAGGAGCAAATCCGAAGTTTTTGTAGCCATAGCTGAAGTGATCAGAGGTGATGGTCCTGGGACGGTTCGCGAGGGTTATGTCGTGATTGGTGAAGCATTCTTCGATAGATTCTGGGGAAGAGAGGGACAAAACAGCACGGTATCCGAATCTCAGGAACAGAACCGGGCCGTAGTTTAAAGAGAGGTGATGTAGAGCTTGTGGTACTGGTAAAGGATACTTGTTGATGAGATGAAGATGGCCGATGATTGGTAGAGGCGTAGGGCTTGGTGGTAGTTTGGAGTTTTGACTCCAAAGTAACTTGGCGATGAAGAAGCTCAAAGTAGCTGCGACGAAGAAGATGAACCAGATATTTTCCATTTTCCTTTTTTGGTCAATCTCGCAAAACTAAATCATTTATCCATTTAAATCGAATATCCCAATTATTCCAAAATGTGCTTTTTCCGTAAAAAAAAAGTCAAAAACAAAACATCGGGTTGAGCAAAACGGCGTCGTCTGCACAACCAGTTAGTATTTGACTATTAGTCAACAATAACGTCAGCTTGATCAAACGGGTGTCGTCTACATATCAGTATTAGACAACAATAACCTCAGCTTAATTACCAACGAGGTTCTTGTCACAGTTTGTTTAACTTTTAAATCTCTTTTGGAAGCCTCATCTTTTATTTTAGTTTTATACAATGGTCGCAGGATCTTGCAACGGTAGCAGGAGCTTCTGCTTTGATGATTTATTTGTGCAGCTGCGCTATACAACTAGAAACCGCTTGTGATGCCAATACCATTGTGTGCTTCCACGTTCATCTAATATCCATATTTTCGCCTTTGGCATACGCGAAGATTGAATTGTCCTAACGCGTTGCTAGGCGCAGCTTTCACCCTTGTTTACAAAGACTTCTAAAGGATGGCTCTTCAAGAATCTACATTCTCGGAAGCGAAAAGAAAAGGTATATATTGTGTGCGTTATAGTATGTATTGAAAGCATTTTTCGTCTTTGTTTGCTAGTTTTTGTTGTGTTTGATAAAAGACGCACTTAAAATAGAATACTTGTGATGTTTCTCTAAATTTCTCTAATTAAGTTCTTTACGTAGGTGTATCCGAAAAAGTATTTTTTGTCTTAGAAATACAGGCTACCATGAAACAATTTAGCAACAATCAATGTGAAAGACTTATTCACAAACAACTTTATCATTGTTCGTGATTTTTTTTCCATTTTTTGATAAATATCTTTATTGTATATATTCAACATCAACGGATATAATCAAGGAGAGAAGTTATCATCATCACAACCTCCATTGCAATCCACTTTACCCTTCTCTTTATTGCTCAACAAAAACACGAAGTCTAGGTTATAAAGAACAGGAATGATCAACGCCGAGCTCAAGAACACTAGCACAGGCCCAAAGATCCATAGCATCAAAGGCAGGCCCATGTAGAACAGCCTATTACCTACCGTGTTGAGCAAGAAAGCTTTCTCGAGAAGCTCAGAGACATACTCGGGAGTCACGAAGCTTCCGATTCCGCTGAAGTCATCGGAGAAGGGTTCTTGAGGAGAGTTAATGAGGATATTGACTTGGTTGATGAAGCGAATGGATAGAGAATGAGAGAAGAAGGCGAAGAGGAAGATTGTGAGGATTGTTACGTATTTGAGTGCAACTGTGAAGTCACCATGAGCTCCATATACGGCATCGTTTAAAGGCTTCTTGATGCTATAAGTACTGCTCAAAACGGCAGCGAGGCCTGCGCATAGGAGGATGCAAGTAGTTGCCATCAGCGTCGCTCCCATTATCGTGTTTCGTAGCGTTTGTACTGCTAAGATGTTCTTCTTCTCATTGTCCTGACCAAAGAATACATTCATATATTGTCACTATTTAAGAAGTAGTTGTATGTTTATAAGTCTACATATATACGAAGACATCAAATGATGTATACGTAATATGTGAAATTTTATGATATTGATACAAGCAATATTAATATATATATATATATATATATATATATATATATGTATATATAGAAGATGATGTGCTATATATACCTTCATGATGGCGGCTACCCAAGATCGACGGGCGCGGGAATTAGTCCCAACGATTGTGCAGAAAGGATCGGTTCGAACCTTATACCAGAGGTAGATGTGGTAACTAAACATCATAAGCAGAGCACATGGCACTAGAACCGCATCTAAGTACCATTTCTCCCACTCCATTTGATATCTCTTTTCCTATATGTAATACAAATCTTCTCTCTTTCTTTCTTGATCTTATTGTCTTCAAAACTCCTAGAAGAGATTGGTTTTATTTTTTCTGGCCCTTGTCTTCCTATATTTATAGTGAAACTCCTCTGCTATTCAAATTCTATGTTCCGGAATATGCCCCTTAGAATTACAAGGGCCACTATACTTCTTTTTTGGTTTTTCATTTTCATATAAGTTCAGTGTTAATGCTATTTGTCTCTTTACGACTTATTAGTGCTCACTTCTGTACCCCACTTTGTGAGATAATTTGGAATTTTACGTTTTGCCCGCATATTTATCTAGTTACTAAACATTTGGCCGTACTTTAAATTAAGGTTAATGACCACTAGCTTGTCCCCCCTTTTAGACCTCTTTGTTTGAATTTTGTCTCTCATTGCCTGTATATTCAATTCGCACATGTGATATATAAATGTCCGTATATATGAAGGAGACAAGACTTAGACTAGATGGTTTTGGAACATGTCACGAAGATGATAACAGGATAGTTTTGTTGTAGACGATGCTATGTACACATGTTACACTATTACCTAACTTATCTCCACGTCATTACGTCACTAGCTAGTCTTCTACGTTTCTCGTCCATGTTTTTTTTAATAATTTTGGTTTAAACAAGAACTATCCCAACATCAAAGATCTGAATATTAAAAATCAATTTTCGTATTGATCCCAATTCTGTAATTCACTACAAATGTTAAAGTAAACGATTTATATCGTTTTTAAAAAATTATTTCCCAACGCGGTACTCGAATATTTTTTGGTGATCTCTTCGTAGGAAGGATCTCGAGCGATTGTGCAATAGGTGCACTTATTATATCCTTTTCCAAAATAAAAGACAAAAAAATAAAAAAATGTAGCTTCTAAAGTTCCTTGAACATGAGTCAGACCCAATTGGCTAATGGTTGGTTCATTTCTTCAATATATATAAAGAAATATACATGCTTATATTGATATATATTTAAAACCCTTTGTCCTAATTCTGTTTCTTTATTCATCTATATACGACTACTTTATAACTTTGTTCACACTATTAAGATAATATGTAGATAACATAAATATGTATATATTGACTCTACAAAGAGAGATGAAATTAAAGTAACATGCAAATTCTGTATAAAATATGTGCATGCCCATACCAAACACATTATACTTAGAAATATGTTTACAGTAACAAATCATTAATTACAAGTACGCACGACTGATAGTTGAGAGATATGGACAACCCACTTGAGCTTCAGGTTTAGCCTTTACAGGCTTTAAAAACTAAGCAGCCGTAAGTAATTACTTTACTAAACCCTGAACAAATTAAATATCTAATCCTGAATAAGGTCGACGCATCAGGCCATCAATGTATATATACAACTTCCTTTAATAATCTACCAAATATGTACATATATGTACCTGAAAACCAATCTTATGTCGGTCATGTAAAACACCTAACACATAGAAAAAAGGCTGAAGGAACCAGTCCATGAAATGTATATATATTGTGCATGCATACATTTCATATCCACGCTCGTTTAGATTTTTGTTTGTTTTCAATTGAGTCAATATTAAAAAAAAATAGAGATTGTTGTAATTTTTATCTTTATCTTTCGGTGAATTAATAACTATATACTAGATTTTACCCCGTGTTACACCACGGGACCAGTATTTTATGCTTTTTGTATTATAAAAACATAACCGTTTTATTTTACATATACGGATGTCCCTATAGCACACCACGGATCTATATTTATTTTAATAAACCACTGATGTGATTAATTTGTTTGATTTGTAAATGTTACGATGTTATATATTTGTTGTTGTATTTACAAAATTAACCCCGTGATAATTTTTTTGTTTTTAAAATAGAAGTTATAATGTTGTATATATTTTGGTGTCTTTGTAATAATTAATGTAATCTTTACTAACTTTTTTGGGTTGACTTTTATATTTTTTAAAATAATTATATGAATAAATTACATTGATATTTGTAAGACTTGATAAAACTAACCACTGAATATATTCCTTCATGCATAGTGTGTTCCTTCATGTGAGTTACATTTGAAATAAAATTCGTATGTGTAT